CCAAGCATTTGCATCAAGAAGTAATCCATGTGCTTTAATGTCTAAGCGACGTAAGACAGGCATAAGTTTGAGATAATGTGCAAGCTTTTCGAATGTTGTTGGATCAGTAGATCGAAAAGACAATATAAGTGTATGAAGAACAGCTATTGATGTAATATTATCATTTGTTGTATGTTGATACGAATTGTAAAAACTAGGACGGCTCCAAGAATCAAGTCTAACATTAAGATATTTGAGATGAACAGCATGTTGTAAAATAGAACAGAGATATTGAAAGTCACATGACATTCTAATGTATGTTAAATGCTCAGTACTTGAAAAAAAAGTTGGTAATAAACTCCAATCATCATGTGAAGAATCGTTCAGTAGATCTATTCGTTTAATAGTTGGTAAATCAAATACATCATTAGTTTGTAAATTAAGTGCATCATAAATTGTATTATTAGATCTTAATGGTCTCTCCATATGTATTACGTTAATTATTAAAGTGTGAATCTTCGTGGTAGATAAAGAACGTAGAGCATTTTGAATTATTATCCAAAAAACAGTTTCTGCATTAAAGTTGATAGATAGTTTATGAATCTTGCTAAAATTGTTTAACAACGGAAAACGTGATAAAAAAGTTGAAATTTGACCAGGAGTGTTGTGATCAGATAAAGCTAATTCTTTAATTTTGCCGATATAATTTGGTAAAAGGTTGATACAATAATGAAAACAATCTTTTTGACAATTAACAAAACTAAAATTGTACTGTTGGCATTGCATAATTAATCCATTGAAACGTTGATTTTGTTGATTAACAAAAGCAACAATAATATCTACACCATTAATATACTTTTCGAAGATATTAATTAATATTTCATTTGGAAGTGATTCTAATGTTGACATTGCCATTTTGCAAATAAACGTAGCAATATTATTTAACGCTAGCGTTTTATACGGTGTGTAAAATGTTTTTTCCAAATCAAAAAATAACAGTTGGGAAAATTCCAACCATTTATATCGTAGGAGTAGTATTTGTTTTCTTGCTTTAAGAAGATTAAAATATTTTCTACTTATCATGTGGCAATTTTAAAAGTATGTGAGTGACTCATAGAATGAACAGGATGAAGAATGAATCATGATACATATAACTTATAGTGCATAATAGTGTAAAAAATAATATTTTTTCCTATAGATAACGAAGAATGAATTTATTATGTTGTGAAACTGTTACATATATTATAGATGACAAAAATGAACAGAAGGGATTCCAGGTCGCCACCAATAAGACTTTCACCTATTGTCGAAAATTCTATGTTGAAGTTTTGATAGCCCGAATAGAAGAACTATAAGTTATCCTACCCTAAATTTGCCCAAGGACAATGTAAACTAATTTAGGAAATAACAGTTAATGGCTTTAATCATTACTAGAACAAATCTCTGTTCTTAACATTAGTTGAAAAAGTATTACATATGTACAAAACTGATTTCATTAGAATAGCAAGATTAAAAACATTTGAGCATAGTAGATATTTTCTTGTTGATGGTCCGCATACTTATTTAATCAATACTCAATTATTTACAGACGATTCAGTCGAAATAAAGAAAAATATAACAGAATTCTGGTCTATAACTTCATTTCAGGAGAACTGACAGTTTGTCCGCTTGTATGGCGATTATGGCTGATATTGTATACTAATCTTCTGCAGTCTAAGATTTCATAGTCATCATTAATAATGGATCTAGTTCAGTATAAGATACAAGAATTACTGTTGGCAAATAGATGATGTTTCAAACTTTAAAATCAATTCTATGAAGTATATATCGATATCCGTCTTATAATACTGTATTATGAATCAATTATGGAAACTGCATTTATAATTCAATTATCGTAAGCTTCTAACATAGATAATTATCCAAATGATTTTAAGAACTTCGAAGGTTAAAATGTTAACTAAAAAAAATATTATTAAAAATATAAGTATCACGTCAACTGCATCATTTCTCTTCATATTACCTTCTTCAACTGAAACTGTTCTATAACAAGCATATTCTTAAAAACTATTCATAGAATTTTCATTTTGTTTTTCGAATACTGAATGATGATAATGTAAGTCTTTAATTTTTAATTATTATACAAATTATTTCGCTTGTATGTGCTATATATATTCTTATTCAATTTGGACAAAAACGATATCAATTAAGATGTATAGTGAATCATTTAATAATATGTTTATTAATTGTTTTGTCTTGACCTATCAGTCTTGATTTACTTTCAACAGAATTTCACCCTTGGAATAATTATGTATTAAATCGTATGTTAACAGCAATTATGTCTGCTGAACGTCATTTTCTTGTTTTTCGTGCAAGCTTTATATTTTATTATATACCATTAAAATATTTATTATTTTAATTATGTAGTTATACATGATCACTTTCATTACCGAATCTTATTCAATTTTTTATATGTTTAAGTTTTTGATTTACTATACAAAAACGAAATCTTTAACATTTTCAATGGCATCGTGCTGGAAAAATGATTATACAAACGGTTTTTATCTCAGGAGTATCATAGAAATCGAATATAGAGATTATTCATAAATAATAGCATCATAAATAAAGAATAAATTTACTATTTATAATTATTACAGACAGGGGCGTACAGTAAACATAGGTTATATTTTTACTATGTTCAACGTATATTCTAAAAGCAGAGGGGGCGTCACATCCCTCCCTCGGTACGCCTCTGATTACTAAACATGAATTATGATCTTATTTCGATATAAACTTTATATATTAAACATCATAATGACTTTTTAATTTGGAGATATGATTTAAAATTCGAGTGAAAAGGAACAGGAACAAATATTTCTTCCTAGAACGATACATCATATAATTTGTAAGATAATAATCAAATGTTCACCTTTTCCAGTAAGAATAGAAAGACGTTAATAATTATTAATCTTTATATGTTTTTGAAATCATCATCATATTCTAATTGTAACAGATGTGAGAAAAAGAAGCGAGATATTTGTTCTCTGATAAGAAAGTAATTTCAATGAGTGATTCAAAGGTGTCATATCGCAGCAGATGTTCTTGTCTCATGCGAATATAGAATGCAAATAATTAGTTCAACTGTAAACATTTACAACTATCACATATATACTCTATCAGAATAGATAAACATATTCTACATGATACTGTTAAAATATAAAATAAATAGCTACATATTTTTTGAATGGTATATCATATTATTCAGCTAATATACTCACCATATTTACTTTCTTATCATTTATCTCATTGTATACATACATAAAATGATTGATAGCATCTAATATTTTTCTATCTGTCAATTATATTAATACTGATGAAAGATTTTTAAAAAATATCTTATTCATATCAAGATTCAAAATTTTGTGTGTGAAAATCCATTACAAACAAATTGTTATTTTTTTTTTTCTTATGCCTGAGGAACAATTAATTTTCGAAGAGATAACTTATTCAGATTAATCTGCAATGCTTAACAACATTTGCTTTCTTATATATACACATTTCAAATTGTCTGTTCAACGGTTTGCTCGTTTATTCGTACGCGTTTCGTCCGCTGTTTTTCTTCTCACATATCCAGTCAGTCAGTCAGTCATTCGAAACAAAAGACAAAGTAGGCAGGCATCCGACGGCTTCATCTTTCTTTCTCTCTCTCTCTACTTCTTTCACTCGCGTTCCCTCTCTCTCTTTTTTCTATTTCTTTCGTTTCGCTACTTCTTTCGATTCATTTCATATTTATAGAAAGAAAAGCAAACTTAGGTTGCCATTTCATCATTTCTTTTACATAAAGACAATAGTTCTATATCTAAAATGTCGTCAGTATTTCCAAATAACTTTAATAACAATGCTACAAATAATCAACTAGTCAATGTATCAATGCTTGTTGAAAAACCATGTCCATCAGTAGCGCCTTATGTAGTATCATATTTTTATGGTTCACCTATTGGATGGAATGCAGTGGTATGTAATTAAAATTGAAATCAAATCAACGGGAAAAAAACATTGATCTAATTTTTATTGTAGCTCGTCGGATTATTATCATCAATTCTTGCAATTATTTTTCTTTTAACATGTCTTTATTATTTGATTGGTCGTCGTCGATATTTCAATGAATCCGATAGTCCAACACCGGTTGCTCTTGTAGAAAAAAACGGAGTATCAGGAATACCGGTTACAACTTCATCACAAACAGCAACTACAACTTTTATGAATGAACCAGGCAAAGAAACAAAAATTAGTACATATACAGAACAAGGTTTAACTTCAAATGGTAATGGAGATTTTATGCTTGGAATGCCAACAATGGGTAATGGACATACAGGTTCATCAAGTACAAATGGACTTTTGGCAAATGGTAGTGCTGATCCAAGTGAACTTCGTTTACTTCAACATGAACATCATTAAAGAAAACGAATTGAACTATATACGTATAGAACAATTTTTTGTTGAAAAATCAAAATAATACATAAATGATCTTATCTTAATTTTTTTCTTTCTGTATGCGTGTGTGTCTGTATCAAATGTATATGCTTATGTATTATTCTTTATTTGTTGGAAATAAATAAAAGTATCAATTCTTTAGCTAATTTTTGATCGATTTCTCAATTTTACAACTAAATATTAAGTTTATATGATTAAGTCGATCAATTTTAAATCAATAAGAAATTTCTTCTTCCCATTCGGAAGCAAAAGAAGATTCTACATATTTTTTTCTAGTTGAAAGATATCACAAATATGTCGTCATCGTCATCAACATAATCTATAAATATCTACAAATATTTTTCGTCGGTTTGTATATTATTGCGATTATCATAAAAAAACGTGTGTGTAGGCATAATACAAAAGCAAATCACTATTTCACTCCCTTCTTGTTTTTTCTTTTTCTTCTCGGTTTTTCTTCCTCAATTGTACTATAACAACACGTCTTGATTTGTGTACGAAGGTGTAACGATAATCGTCAACTCACCTTCGTATATATTCATGATCCTTCAAGAATGGTCTAGAATATTGTATAAGTATATTTAAGTATTTACTCGCAATATATTTTCTATTTCAACATAACATTTGATTACATATACATTTACCTCAAATTATGTCTCGTGGTGCAAGTAATAGGAAAAAAAGTACAGCAATTGGTATTGATTTAGGTACCACATATTCATGTGTTGGTGTATTTCAACATGGCAAAGTAGAAATAATTGCTAATGATCAAGGAAATCGAACAACACCATCTTATGTTGCATTTACGGATACGGATCGTTTAATTGGTGATGCTGCAAAGAATCAAGCAGCTATGAATCCAACAAATACAGTATTTGATGCAAAACGTTTAATTGGAAGACGTTTTGATGAAGAAACTGTACAAAAAGATATTAAATTATGGCCATTTAGAGTTATTAGTGGTAAAGATCGTAAACCATTTATTGAAGTTAACTTTAAAGGAGAAAGAAAAGTAAGATTAATTACAAAAAAATCTTTTCTTTAATTATAAATTTTTATTTTTTCATTTAGGTTTTTTCTCCAGAAGAAATTTCTTCAATGGTATTAATAAAAATGAAAGAAACAGCCGAAGCTTTCTTAGGTACACAAATTAAACAAGCTGTTATCACGGTTCCAGCATATTTTAATGATTCACAACGACAGGTATTTACAGATTCTTAAAAATCATTTAAAAGAGAATAACAGCGACAAAAAGAGCTCGTTCTCTTTCAATGAAAAACATATTCCTTTCTTTTTTCCTTGCGATGTAAATCTATTTGATCATCGAGGTTTTTAAATATTGACAATTATGTATCAAATTATATTTTTACTGACATTGAATTTATCATATTTCAGGCAACAAAAGATGCGGGAGTTATTGCTGGTCTTGATGTTCTTCGTATTATAAATGAACCTACAGCTGGTGCACTTGCTTATGGTCTTGAGAAACGACTTCAACGTGATCAAAATGTTCTTATCTATGATCTTGGTGGTGGTACATTCGATGTATCTGTTTTAACAATTGGTGGTAGTGGTAATGAAGGTGGTACAGTATTTGAAGTCAAATCTACCGGTAAATTAATAGAAAAAAATAAATAATAATTATCTTTTTCTTTAGCTGGTAATACACATTTAGGTGGTGAAGATTTTGATAATCGTATGGTACAACATTTTGTTGATGAATTTCGTCGTAAACATGGTAAAGATATAACAAGACATACGAAAGCTCTTCGTCGTTTACGAAGTGCATGTGAACGTGCTAAACGTACATTATCATCATCAACAACAGCTTCAATTGAAATTGATTCTCTGTTTGAAGGCATTGATTTTAATACACAAATAAGTCGTGCTCGATTTGAAGAACTTAATATGGTAAAAGAAGAATTAATAAAATTAAAATAAATAATTTGTTTTTTTCATGAATAGGACATGTTTCGTGGTACACTTGGACCAGTTGAACAAGCTCTTCGAGATGCTAAATTACAAAAACGTGATATTGAAGAAGTTGTACTTGTTGGTGGTTCAACACGTATACCAAAAGTTCAACAATTATTATCGGAATTTTTTAATGGAAAAACTTTAAATAAAAATATTAATCCTGATGAAGCTGTTGCTTATGGTGCTGCTGTACAAGCTGCAATTTTAACTGGTAAAAATAAAAAAAATTTAATAATTCCAAAACAAAAATCTGTTTTTTCTATTTTGTTTTAAGGTGATCAAAGTGAAATGATTAAAGATGTTTTACTTATTGATGTAACACCATTATCAATGGGTATTGAAACAGCTGGTGGTGTTATGGCAAAATTAGTTGACCGAAATCAACGTATTCCATATAAGAAAACTCAAACATTTACAACCTATGGTGATAATCAAGTAAGAGAATAAAATAAATTTAATAAATACTATTTAATATCTTTCAGCCTGCAGTATCCATTCAAGTTTTTGAAGGTGAACGTAGTATGACACGTGATAACCATTTATTAGGTAGTTTTAATCTGGAAGGTATTCCACCCGCACCCCGTGGTGTACCACAAATCGATGTTACTTTTGATTTGGATGCTAATGGTATTCTTCATGTTACTGCAGAAGATAAAAGTACAGGTCGTAATAAAAAGATTGAGATCAAAAACGATAAAGGACGTTTATCACAAGCAGAAATTCAACGTATGGTTAATGATGCCGAACAATATCGTGAAGATGATGAACGAGCACGTGAACGTGTTAATGCACGAAATCGTCTTGAAACATATACATATTCATGTAAACAAGCCGTAGAAAATTATAAAGGTTCAGCTATAAATAGTTCCGATAAATCAACTGTTTTAAATGCATGTAAAGAAACTCAAAGATGGTTAGATGGAAATCAATTAGCTGAAAAAGATGAAATTGAACATCAATATAATACATTAGAAAGAAAATGTCAAAACATAATGACAAAAATGCATGGTGGTGGTCGTGCTGGTGGAAATCAGAATGGTAATGGTTATGATAATGGTAATGGTTATGAAAATTATTCAGGTCCACATGTCGAAGAGGTTGATTAAATCACACGAATTTTATTATTTAATAACAGTTAGCATTTTTTATAATTCAACTAATTGAGATGTACGAATTATATTTGTATTAAACTGATGATTTTTTTTCGGTGAATAAAATAAATAAATTTTTTTCATTTTAAAATCTTGTACATTCACTATATCATTTAGAATTACGTCTAATTCTATTCGTTAACCTCAATAAGAATGAGTCATTATATCTATCGAGGGGTTGTAATGTATCTTTCTTATGCATTCTTTTTGTTGTTTATATATGCATAACAAGTAAAATGTTTTAATCAGATTACATTACTATCTTATCTGTTTTGTTTATGCATATGAACAAATGAAAATTGTTGCTTTTTTGATTTGAAAAAGAAATAGTAATGTCAAATTCAGGTTCAACTTTATTATCTTCAAGTAATAAATGGCATTCAACAGCAACACATACTTCATCTTCAATTACAGCTACACATAGCTATTGCCATCGACCATCGATACCATTATCAGATATTTCAACAAATATAAATACAGCAGCTGCTGCTATGAGAACTGTTTCAAGAAAATGTATTTATGTTAAAGAAGGTTTTAATTCTATACATAAATAATAAAAATTTATAAATTAACATTTTATTTTAGTTATTAGTGTTAATAATAGTACAGCACATTTACCATTGACATCGTCGGATGGTAGTGCAAGTGAATGTGAAAGTGGAGAATTAAGTTCAGATGAATATCCATCACAAATTAAATTTAAACCATTATCAATTGATCATGGACAAGAAAATCATTTTGATTCAACACATGAAATGGGAACTTTAGCGCAATTACTTAATCATTCATTTCCTGTTCAAAGAGATTCATCAATATTATCTCAAAAGTTTGTATATACATCATATAAAGATAACAAATTTTTTAAAAATAATACTTTAGACATGAATCAGATATTCGTCGTCATGAAGTGCCCAATAATCAAATGCGTTCATCATCAAATTCATCAACACCTCGTATTGAAGGTTCATTAAAGACTCGTCGTCTATCAGAACATTTATCTACAACAATTCAACGACAAAAAACACGTAATGAACAACGACATAATGCATATGCAGAATTAAAACATTTAGCACAACGACGTTTAAATGTTGTTGCAGAACTTGTAACATTAGATGAACAATATGAAGCAACACTTGCCAAATTATTACTTCCAGGCAATAATTAAGCATGCCTTTTTATTTTAGCATTGTGTTGTATTCTAATTCATACAATTTTGTACATAGATAAATTATTGTTAATTGAAATTATTTGATTAAATAAAGAGATTCTATTGTTTAAAGAATATTTTGTTCAATGCATACACTGTCGAGAGCAAAACATATTCAGAATACGTATGGCGAAATTCTCTATTTAAGAGCCGTTCGTATTATATCAGACTAATAATAATTTTTCGCAATTCTAAAGTCATTCGTTTTAGATTTAAATATAATGAATCAGCAAATGTTGCGTCATAAAACGAAACAGTTAAAAACTGTTTCTCAATTTTCGTTAACTCTTTCAGGACGGATGGTACATCGTATATACCAGTCTTTTTTTAAAAGAAACATGTTATGTATTGACGATAGGAAGTAGGTGTGTACACGTTAGAAAATACTTATAGCAGTGATATATATCTTATATGACTTGCGTAATTATGACCTATTTTTTTCCTTTTCTTCTATGCACTAAATTATTATGCTGTATCGTAGTGATCTATTTTCTTGCATATACAGGTGAGCATGGTGTTGTTAGGTGATCCGATCGTGTGCACAGCATATTAATAAATTTGAATAAAAAACAGAATTATTTGATCCTTTAAAATAATCCCGTCCTGAAAGGATTAAGTATGTTGAAATC